ACTCGTCTGCCTGCCAATCCAGCTGCTGCCTCAGTTGTGCTATCCCAGCATTCTGAGCAATAACAAAAATAGAAGCAGCAGTTATTGCAGAAACAGCCACCACTTACAGGGCACTGTGTGTCGGCCATTGGCCAAGCATTTTATGTATTCTCCCTTTTAACCCTCAAGACAACCTCTGAGGCAAGGGCCATTGCAGAGATGAGAAGACTGAGCCCAGAGTCAGCTGGTAGGGAGGGCTAGAACCAGGCTTTGAGTCCAGGTCCGCCTGACCCAAAGCCCACGTTCTTGGCCTCAACAGTAGCTACTCCCCCAAACTGGTACAGAGGTCAGCCTCCCCCCTCTACCATCACTCTCTCTGTTCAACAGCATCTAGAAACCTGCTTAACATCACCTCCAACCTTCCTCCAGCTGAGTGCAATCACAAAGGCCAACAGAATCTTCAGAGAGGGGCTTCTTTGGAGGAAAAATGTCCTTGCAAAGTCCCAGGGAAGAGAGAGATGATGTCATACCATCTGGGGGAGAGGATGGGTACAGACTCTTGGTCTGGGGAATGACAAACTTTTGTCCTGGGAGGGAAGCTGGGCAGAGAGGAGATGGCAAATGTATTATTCTGGTCTCACTTATGTGTGATCAATGCTTTGGCTTCCAGGGAAGGACACAGGAGACTAAAAATAACCAGGAGGTAGAGCCCAGGGCTCAGAGGATGAGAGGTGGCTGGCCTGGGTGAGTGTGCAGAAATCACCACTGGAAAATGCCTGCAGGCTCATGAGCCAATTAGCCGCTGCCTGGGTGGAGAGATGAGGGCAGGCAGGAAGCCAAGGTCGCAGGTCCTATAGCAGGGGAAGGTCCACCACGTAGGAGGCTGGTCCAGCCCAGGAATGGGAGCGCCTGACAACCCTGGGTGTGGAAAGCCCCTGGAACATCCTCCTTCTCTTCCTCACCCACCTGCCCCCATCACACCTCAAGGCTCGCTGCCATCCTTCAAGGAAGTGATCCCCACAACAGATTCTTGGGCTCAAGGGGGATGGAATCTCCCAGGAAAAAACAAACTGTCACGAACGGAGAACCCCCACGTCTTTCTCCCCATCCAGGGCAACTATAAATCTTTCTTCTTCCCTTTCATGCTTTCCCTCTGGCTTTAATTAGGTATTGATCTATTGTCAGATAACTTTCTTTTTTTTTTTTTTTTTTTTACTGCCTAGCCAAGGGGTCAGCCATATATAACAGAAAAAAAATCCCAGAGTGTCAAACAGGCAGCCAGCAGGATCTGCATGACAAAGGGTTCCCACGCTCTCCTGGCAGGCTGGCTAAGAAGGCTGCATTGCAGGGCTGCTGAGGGCTGGCTGCCTAACAGCTCCTCATTAATTACCCTTTGGACAGAGGAGCCCCAGCCTTCCCAGGCTGGCCTCTTGCCTCCGCACAGGTCCCTACAAACCAGCCCAGAGCCTGCTCCCCTCGCCTCCCCAGTGCGATCCACCAGGGGCAGAGAGGTGGGCAGGGAAGCCCCCAGGGTCCAGCCTCCGCACACTGACCTTTCCCTCACCCCACCCATGGACTGGAGTCCTGACCCCAGGGCCACAGGTCTGTCTGGGACTGTGGCAGGAGTATGGAATGGGGGCATGGCTGGCTAGTTGTGTGACCTTGGTCACAGGCTGTGAGTTCTTTGGGCTTCAGTTTTCACATCTGTGAAATGAGGATGTTTAAGGCTTTCTGACTTTTGAGCAGTGAAACCCTCTTTTCTAAAGAAAACCTTACCTATACCCCTACATCATGTCACAGAGCACAGAGACAGAGAGCCATTCTGACTGAATGTCACGGGGCTTGGGGAGAGAAGTTTGCCACCCACCGGAGGGGGTCTCAAGGGTTCCTTTCAGATCAGAAATTCAATTATCTGAGTCTTGGCCTAAGATCCAGAGTCTGAGGTTCAGATCTTATTTCTAGAATCTTGAAGGAAACTATCTGGATAGACCTGCCCCCATTTTGTGGCAGGAAGACTTCCCAAAAGTGACCGCAGATTAGACCTAGACTAGAGAGACCAAATACAGGTGCAGGAGAGATCAAATACAACCTTGGGCATGTGCGCATATCAGTACCATAATAAAGGCCATCCTGGGGCAGGAAGCCTGGGCCAGGCAGCTCGCCTAACAGATGACAGTTCAATAAGGCCAGTATGAATTCCATGGAGGTCATGGGAGCAGAGGACAGGGAGAGAGTAGCAAGCTGGAGTCACACAGCACACCTCTGCATAGTGCAGACCACAGGACTAGTTTTAGTCAGGGCTATGAATTTTCCAAAAACAATTCTGGGTTCATGCCAGCAAATGGATAAATTGGTGACTTTGCCATAATGCACAGTGTGATAATTTTAGCCCAGAAAATTTAAAGCAGGTGTTCTCCAACATCTCCCTTGGTCATTATAAAAAAAATCCAAATAAAAACTGGCAGAACACCTACCTTTAGGCAATGTAGCTTCATACATTTATTCTTTAATTTATTCTGCAAATATTTGTTGTTAGACATGTGCCAAGCCCTGCACTCGGCTCTGGGGATGCACACATGGCTTATAATCTGTATAATCTATAATAAAAGCTTGGTGGAGTATTTAAAGTACTGGTTTTTAAAGTACTTAAATTGTTAGCCATATAGTTGTTAGCCAGAAGTGAGAGATACATCAGCCTCGAGCAATGGGTAGAAGCACAGGGTCAAGGAAAGGTTTCCACCCCAGTTCTAGTACTTACTGGCTGAGCAAAATGGGCCAGTCATTTCACCTCTGAACTGCCTATAAAATGGGGGTGACAGTACCCACTTCATAAGACTCTGTGGTGAAAACAGCAGCTAACACTTGTGAACGCTTTCTCACATGTCTGTTCCACAGAGGTTAGCTATCATCATTACAAAATGTGACAGCCTTGAATATGGAATACTTCCATGGGGCAAGAATTAAAGAGCAGGGCCTGATGTCTTTTAAGACCTCCCTTGGTTTCTGACAATAAATTGTTATCTACACAAAGGAAAAGGCCTTTTGGTTCTTGTAACACAGGGTAGTGGTTTAGCACACAGCTTTTGGGGTCAGACAGCCTGGGTGTGAGCCCAGCTCACACCAGCTCCACTACTTACAACGATGTCTTCTTGGGCAAGTCATTTAAGCTGTCTAAGACTCGGTCTGTATCTGTAACAGGTGGAGAGCAATAGTACCTGCCTCATGGGGCTGCTGGGGAGATGAAATACAAATCAGGCACTTGATATTATTGACTTGGTAGTCAAGGTCTGGCTTTCTGTGAATGGACCCCCTCTTTAAGGAGAGATGCACGCTGAGCAGAGAGGAAGGAAGGGGTGCAGGCAGATCAATCAACTCAATCCTAGAGATCAATGATATAACATATGGTGACCAAAGTGATCTCTGGTCTGAATCAATGACTCAGAGAGAACGGTACGTGTCATTTATGTTACCAAAGAGCCCCACACCCTCATGTTTAGCTGGAGAGCCACGCCTTCTGTCTGTGCACTGTCCCACTCTGCACTGGTGTCACTGGGAACTGATGCCTGCACTGTCTCCCCTGCTGGGTGGTGTCTAGTTTTGGTGAGGCCTGAGCTATTCTGAATCTTAGTTCTGTCTTCTCGGTTATTAGCACTCCCATCTAATTGACTACTAACAGCAAGTGTTTTGAGTGTCTTTCCTGTTCCTCGCCATTAACCATCTGGGTCTCTGGGTATCTAGGTATGGAAAATAGGGCTATAAATTCCCAGATGTCAAGACTTAAGGGTGCATGGGTGGCTGAATAAGTCTGGCACACAGAGATGCTCATTAGACCTTTGTTCAAGGATGTGGAAGGTGCTGGACTCTGGGAGAAGCTCTTGTGGGTGCTGTCCAAGGTGGCCAAGTTTTAACTCAGCACTGAGATGCACTGCAGGTGGTGCTGGGACAGCCTCCCAGGCTGAGGGTTCACGAACTAGCAGACCAGCCTTGTATGGGTGGGGTGTGGCCCTTCTATATTCCATTCCTGAGGTCACTTAAGCTACTCCCAGGGTCCCTGCCTGCCTGTTGTTTACAAGGTCAATGCTGCTTGCTGTCCTGATGACAACTTTAATGCCACTCAGAAAGGATTAAGATCTTACTTAAACATACACACAAAGCTCCCTTGGGCACAGCTGTCGAGGTGAAGAGCTGAGGCGGCAAACCTTGTTAAAAAAAAAAAAAGCCAGCAATAAGGTTGGAAACATCAAGAGGGAGATCCTCTGCTCAGAAACCCGGTTGGTGCAGACTTTTCCTGCAGAAATCTGCTTTGCTCTCCCTAGCTCAGCCCAGCCTACCTCCCCTCCCACTGGAGAGAGGGAGGTGGAAGTCATGCTGGCCAGTATCCTCAAGGCCATTATCACCTGCCATGGGAGCTGAGTCATCCAGGGCCCCAGACTCCTCCAGCTGGCATGAACACTCACTACCTCCTAGACCAACTCCTGTCAGCAGTAGGTCAATCAAAAGGACAGTGACCAGCCTGGGCAGAGGCAAGATCTCCCTCTGGGTACAGATGCTGGACTGGCAGAGGAGGTGCCTGGCTTTACCCACACCTTGGATGTCCCTACAGAGATCTCATTGTGCTCTTGCATGGTTTACACAGCACTGTCATTACATTTGTCACTTCACTCCACCCTCTTAACACCTTACAGGCAATCTTATTAGATCCCGCTTAAAGCTAAATGGGGCCAAGAGAGGTTAAGGAATTTCCCCAAGCTCGCACAGCTACAACGCGGCGGTGTAAAAATGGAAACTCTGGTGGTCTGCCTGTTCCAAACGCTGTGCTCTCCTCCTTTTGCCGTTACCCGTCTCCTGTCTAGGTGCAGCCCCCTTTCCAGCCTCCCTGGGGAAGTGGGGCGGTAACCTTCATCAGGAGCCTTGGTGATGAGAGCACTGTGTCCCCCGGAAATGTGGGGCTTGCCCCTCCATGAGGTCTCCCAGCCACCCTGAGGAGATTTACCCCTGCGGACATGGGCCCACCTGCCTACCTGCCACAACGCCAGCCACATAGACAAGCCCAATGCGGGTCGCTCCATGGACCATCTCCAAGGGCACCCCCACCAGGAGCTGCAGCACCACATTGAGTCCCAGGTGTTCTATCCTGTACAGAAAGACCACACTTCACTCATTCATTCAACCAACACTGTATGACAAGATGCTGGGGATCCAGCGGTGAAGAAGCCCCTGCACCTGCCTTTGAGCTCATGGTTTAGGGTAGGATGGGGTGTGGGCCAACAGTTACAGTCAGACATGTCATCTTGGAAAAAGTATTCCTTCCATACCTTCCCTGCCCCTGGAACAGGGGCACAGGTGTAGTGGTGACTGACAGTATCTATACTTGCCACAGTGAGCAGGGCTGACACAGTCAAGATCCAGAAACTCCGCCAATTGACACATATGAGAATCCAAGGCTCAGAGAGGGCCACTGACTGGGTTAAAGTCACACAGCTGGTTAGTGTCCAGGTGGGACGACAGCCCAGGTCTCTAATGAGCAGAATCTGCTCCATTCACCAGCCATTTTTGTATTTGTCAGAGCTACTGATATTTAAAGAGGAAGATGTTGGCAAAACAAGTGTAGGCATTTGGGACATCCCTTAGGACTTAAGAGTTCAAAGTCGAACCTAAAATCTCATCAGGGAGGCTTCTCCTTGCTGATGTGAGGAGGGACCCATTTTACCACTAACCATCTAGAGCTGGACTTTCTTACCCTGTGAATACCTTCCTTTTTACACAATCATATATCTGAGACCAGATCATCTTGCTAAATGGTATCTAGTCAAGTATGTATGTTACTAGAAGAGACCACAATATTACTATCACATCAATGTGTGCTTTTAAGTTCACACAGCACTTTAACATCCATCACCTCATTTAAACTAGCCTACAGAAGCTGGACAGCTCCCTGAGGATGTTTAGGTTACAGGGTGCATGAGCTCATATGGAGGGGTCTGGACCCTGGCCTGGCTCACAGCCCTGCTCCTGTCTGCAGGGCTTTGCCTGGAAGTCAAATGCTGTGCCACATGGAGCCCACATGGGCACCTGTTTCCCCAGGCAGGCACCTGTGAGGCAGCTCAGAAAGATCAGACTCTGTCCCAAATTCCCACCATGCCTGGAATCGTCTAGCCTTCACAGACTGTGCCAGCTTAAGGATTCCGGATTCGAAGTGTTAGACAAATGCACTGTAAAGGAGCTTTGGGCTGCATCAGACTCATCATCAGAGAAACCTCAGAGGTTTTCTGGTCCTGTCTCCTTGGTTTACAGCCTAGATCCTGAACCTAGACGAGGCCCAGGGAGGGGAACACAGGGCTTCTGTCTCCTAACCCGAGCTCTTTGTTTTCTACCACAGTGACTTCTGAATTCGCTGGTCCAATGTGTCCTTGAGTAGCAGATCATCTTGCTGGGCTCACCCCAGATGCTGGCCAGCTGTTCCTATTTCCCATTTATTGCAGCACCAGCCAAGAGCCTCTCCCTCAAAATCACAGACCTGGAGAACCCTCTCAGGACTGTCCCTGGCAGGCATTGCCCCTTCAGAAACAGGCCAGAGAAAGGCCTGAGGCCACCCACCTAGGTGCCCTGTCTTCTGTGGCCTCTTGGCATTAAGCTCCCAGAGGCAGGCAATGGACAAGGAGGTTTTGTCCATTCTCCTTCCTCATGCTGGGGAATCAGCAAAGGCCAGAGGGCAGTCCTGGAATAAGGCAGTAGTTCCAGTCCATGTGCAGCCACAGGCCTGTGTGGCCTGGGCAGGGAAGTCCTCCACTTCCTTTTGGCTCCAGATCTGGCCTCATGAGAACACCACGCAGGACATGCCTACGTCCCTCTGCTCTTTAGTCTCGTGAGATCAAAACCTGGGACATAGTGGGCAAGGCAACAGCTTGTGCTAATGTCCCCTCTGACTCAGAGTGGAGACAGCCATTAGTAACCATCAAGATGTCTCCTCACCCCAAAACCTCCTCCCCGGGAGGTGTGGCCAATTAGGGGTTGGCATTTGCGCCACTTTAAAGGCTCAGCAGGAAAGGAAGGCCACAATGGGGTTCCCTCTTGGCCATAATGGGTCTGTAGAGGAATAAGGATGATGGAGCCACGGGGGCCAGAGTGATCCTCTTCCTATGTCCAGCCCCATGGACAAGCACTCCCAGGGCTTTTTAGTGAGTTCCTTTGCTTCTCTTGCTGGAGAGGCTACAAAAGACACCACAGAAGTCTGGTGTACAGAGATTCTGCTTTCCCAATTCTGTGCTTCTGTTAGCTAAAGACAGTCTCCAGTCAAGATCATGCTATTCAAGGGCTTTAGACCTAGTAGGTACTTATCATGGGGGAGGAGGCACCCATGAGAACTGATTGCACTCTAGCCCCCAAAGAGGCACATGGCCATATAAACAGAAACTTTAAGTATTGACAGACTTCCTTGAAAAGACTCTCAGCATATATGGAGACTACCTTGGGAGGAAGGTGGTTTCAGTAAATCTGTCTTTTATTTCATTTATGGGGGCACTCACCACACACACACATAATCTGTGGACAATGAACCTGGTAACTGACCCGATTTCTCTCTTTGCTTTGGCCACTAGGAAGCTCAAGAGTAAATTTGTAACCTACCTCTACCAAGTACATAGAATCACATGCTGTGTGTGTTTGTGCTGATCTCACTGGGGGCTTTCAGGATTTTCCTTCCTCTATTTTCCCTACCCATAAATTCTCAATAATTAACTTACTGATTTTGGTATTAGATGACTTTCAAGGAGCCACCTCAAATTCTGTGTCTAGGTAGATAAAAATAAACTAACACATATATTTCAGTCCAGGTTATCTGGACTACTTATTTTTCTATAAGGACTCTTGACAGAGTGGAATAAGACAGGCACTCACCCGGCATGCATGAAGATGTAGGTCAGGTAGCGCCAAGCTTGTGCTCGGAGCTGTGGGTGGTAAACCAGTGAGTTCTTCAGGTATCGTGGGTGGGTTACCTGCAGCACAAATTGATCAAGCGACACTCCATTGTAGAGGAAAAAGGCAATCTGGAGGAAAGTACAAAATGGAGAGGGCCTGTTACTAGGTACAAAACTTGCCCAGAATCCCTCTTGTGCTGACCTTTGGAAGATCTTTGCAGTGAATGAGGGACACTCCTATGGCCAGGGCTCAGCCTAGCTTTCAACCATCTCTTACCCCACTTCTGTTTGATTATTTTGTGCTAACTGTTCACAAAATGGTTACATGGTCCCCACCCTCCCTACTAAGCAGGAAGGGCTTGGAGGATTTTACACTTTAATTCCAGTAATAACTCACATCCCCATTTGGGAGGATGATGCAATTCCACATAAGTTGCTTTTTTTTAAAATTGTGGGAAAATACACATAATATGAAAGTTACCATGGTAATCAGTTTTAAGCATACAGCTCAGTGGCATTAAGTACATTCACATTGTTCTGAAACCATCACCACTGTCCAGCCACAGAAGTCTTTGCATCTTTGCAAAGCTAAAACTCTATACCTGTTCAATACTAACTTCCCACTCTCCTTTCCCTCAGTCCCTGGCAACCTCCCCTCTACTTTCTGTCTCTATGAATTTGATTCTTCTAGGTATTTCATACAAGTGGACTCATACAGTGTCTGTCTTTTGGTGACAGGCTTATTTCACTTAGCATAATGTTCTCAAGATCCATGCATGTCAGCATTTCCTTCCTTTTTAAGGCTGAATAATATTCTGCTGTATTTATACCACACATTGCTTATCCATTCATCCATTAATGGAGACACTGGTTGTTTCTACTTTTTAGCTATTGTGAACAATGCTATTCACATGGATGTACAAATATCTTTTTGAGTCCCTGCTTTCAGTTCTTTTGGATATATACCCAGAAGTACAATTGCTGGATCATATGGTAATTTTATGTTTAATTTTCTGAGGGACCACCATACTGCTTCCCATAGTGGCTGCACCACTTTACATTCCTACTAAAGGTGCGCAAGCACTCCAGTTTCTCTGCATCCCCAAGTACACTCCACATAAGTTGTTTTGCAGATGACTGAAGCACACTTGTTTAAGCCCCAGAAGGGTATTTAACCATTTTTTTTTCTGGAGCTCTTTCTAAAAGGCATCATCCATGTCCCTGTGTTCTTAATCAGGGTTTATGCATAGTCTTTTAAGGATGCCTCAGTAATTGATCTGGGTTATAGGAGTGAGGTCTTTTCCAGCAATTGAGAGGTTTACATTCTTATACTAAATGGCCCCAAATTCTTGTGTTTCTTTAAGACTCAGGTCTGCTTTTAAATTTTCTTTTGTCTTCTCCCATACTGCCAGGTTGCCAGCAGGTTGTTAACTAGGTTCTGCACCCAGGTTCTTACTTCTCATTGCTGGCTGGTTGTGGACCCCTTCTAGTAGCTTGCTACCACGGCCCTTCTATTTTCTGTTATGGAATCAGGAAACCAGCTTACTAGAACTGTACATAAAATAAAAGTCTTAGGCTTTGAAACAGTTATATCAGCATTTTCTTCTAGATTGGCGGTTGTGTTCACATAGCTGAGGTTTCTGGAGATCTGAAGCCTATCTGGCTCCTCTGGATGGCCCTGGACAAATTATTTGAATTCTCTGGTCATTGGTTTCCTCATCTGGAAAATGGGGATATCACTGTCTGAACTTCCAGGGTGGTCAGAGGTTTGAAAGTGGGAAAGTACATGAAGAGCCAGTAGGATGTCCAGCCTGCACTCAGCGAACACAGCTGTATTTAGCGTCAGGTTAAGACCCCCAGGGCCAAGCCTGGGAATGGCTCAGGAACATGGCATTTAGAGTCCCCTGGGCTCTCTGGGGAGCTGTTCTGTCCACCTAACACAATGTGGGTGGCCAGAAGCAAACACAGCTTCCAAGGCAGCTCATTATTACTGGTCTTCAAATAGAATTTAATAAATAGACCAACACAGTAAGCATTTGGAGAACAAGTCCTAGAATATCTCAGAAAAATCACTATTACAACATGTACTCAGATGAAGCCTAACAACAAACAAGGAGCTCTCTGGTCTGCAGTCCAGCTGAAAAAGAAGGATGCTGTGAAGCTTTAACGATCCTGCCATTTGATTTGGCAGGAACTTTACAAGAACATATGCAGGGGTGGTAATTAGGCCCATGGCTCTGGAAGAGAAACAGTGGAGATTACAAAATGCCAAAGGGAAGCCAAGCTTCCATCCAGGAGCTGGGCTTGGGGGGCCCACAGGTTCTTAGGCTGAACAGCCCAAAGAATTCAGAGTTCCTCATGCAGGGGCACTGATTCAGCAAGTGGTACCTTTGGGTTCTGTTGCATAAGCAGGAGACTTTGAGAATAATAATAAGTGCTGATGATTCCCTAAGCGGTGAATGTGCTTTCCAAACAGTTAAGTCCACATTTTTGTGTTCATAAACACTCCCTCCCCTGTGTGTTTGGGTGATGCTCCGGTGTTCAGAAAGTACCACCAGCCACTCTCACTCAAACCACAGTGGTCCTTTGGGAGAAGGGGGGTGGGCCTGGTTATTCCTCCTCTATAGGGGGAGGATGCAGTCCCAGGGGAGCAAATGACTTGTCCATGTTACTCACTCAGGGAGGAACTGAAATAAATTGGTTTTAAAGAGTTAGCCTAGCTTAACTTCCCAACCCAATGAACTTTCTACATTGCTTTCTTGGTATTGTTTTGGTGCAGGTGCTCATATGCAGATTTTGCTGCAGTGAATGTGGCTGGAAATAATTATTTCTGGGATATCCTTGTGGTCCAGGGGTTGTTGCAACATTTGTATACCCTGTGCCAGGGCCTGCCTGGCAATGACTATTGCTATTTGACCCTCAGCTGCTGCAGTGAATGTGGCTGGAAATAATTATTTCTGGGATATCCTTGTGGTCCAGGGGTTGTTGCAACATTTGTATACCCTGTGCCAGGGCCTGCCTGGCAATGACTATTGCTATTTGACCCTCAGCCGTTGCCTTACGATCCTCCCCCATGATCTCAGATATCCTCTTGGTCCCCCACTCGCTAAGGCTGAGCAGCCCCTTCCCCACCCATGTCCTTGCCTCCAGCAGTGTCACTGTGATCATGAACCAGGGTGGCGGGCAGCAGGTGTAACTGTCGTAGTACCACTTGCGGTCAATCTCCCGGGGCAGGGTCTCGTAGGCCACATGGCGGATCAGTCGCTGCGACAGGTTCAGCCCTTTCTCCTCCAGCAGGGCCTTGCTGGAGAGCCTGCGGTTCCCCTGCAGGATGGCCTGGCGGAAGCTGTTGGACCGCTTGTTGCTCATCTGAACAGGAAACAGGGTGAGGGAGAGGGTCAGAGCCGGGGTCTCAGGGGAGCCCAACCGATTACCCAGCCAGCACGTTCCTCAGACCAACCAAGCTTAATTCCACCTCCTCTTTTCTTTTATAAATAGTTAATAAGAAGCATTATTCCCTGAGCTCTCATGTGTCAAGAGTTGTATTATTCTAAGCACTTCACGTTTTTTGGCTCATTTGATACAACTGGTCTACCTGTCAGATAAGGACTATGAATATCCCCATTCTGCTAGATAAGGAAACCAAAGCACAGAGTTTTAGAAACCCTTCAAGCTCAAACCCACTTAAGCACCAGAGCCTGTGTTCATATTCACTATCCCTTCTTTTCATCTACCCACCCACCAACCATGCTGTCACAATATACCAAGCAACTACTAAGTATCAGGCATATCGCCAGACACAGGAGTACAGTGGTGCTCAAGACAGATAAGTAATCTGCAATTGTGGTTCAGTGTGAAGGCTGCTGTGGGAGCATTACAGGAGGGAGCCTGACCTGGCTCCAGGTGGTCAGGGAGGGCTTCCTGGAGGACGTGGCATCTAAGTGAAAACTGAAGGATGAGTAAGGAGTTTGTGTCCTCAGACACACTAGCTAGGGAAGAGGGCTGCAGCCCTTGGTTAGACAGGTGAGTTGCAGAGAGGTCCTAGAACCAGAACCCAAAGCTCTGCCTGTGGAAGGCCACCACTCCAGAGGGCCTTCAAAGGACTTCTAATGTTTAGTGAGCCAGGAACTGGTCATAGAGCCCTGCCTGAGGACTGACCTTACTCTCAGCAGCCTGAGGCTGTCCTGACACAAACTCACTAGTTAGCCTGATTCCCAGAAACCAGAGGCAGCCTTGCTGACTTCCAGCCTCCCACTGCCTCCCACCTGCCCTCCACAATGACACTCCATGACCTTCTTATGGGGAGACATCCTAGAGATACAGCTCTCCCAACCCCAGGGGCCACAGCCCTGCCTGGGTGGCTGTTCCATGGGCGCTGGGGTGGGACTAGGTGAACCAGGCCAGAACAAGGCACAGGAGGTGTGAAGCCCCATCAGGGTGAAGATAGCTGGGGGAGGTCTGTGTTCAGACCAGGCCAGGCAGAAGGAGCCTCCATCTGCAGAGCCCCTTCCCCACTCCTGGGTTCTGCCACCTCTCACCTTCAAAATCCAGCTTAAGCTTACCCCCTCCAGCAGGCCTTCCCAGATGAACTCCTTCTAATCATTCTAACTAGGATAACTCAATCTCATCCCCTCCATGCCTACAAAGCTTGGATCTGGTTCTCCTTAGCAGCTCAGGAGTTCTGTAAATACAGGCAGGGCTTGGGGCTCCATGTACACCTCAAGCCCAAGACATGACCATGCTGTCAAGTTATTTTGCAGCCACTCTTACCATCCTTTCTCCCAATCCCCAGGTGTGCGCCGCACACTTACAAACATGCACATAGCCCATGGTTGGGACAGGCCCAGCATGAGCACAGGAGAAGCATGTACACACACACACACTCACCATTCACCTGCACCTTTGCTGTGCCTAGAACTGTGCTGGGCACAGTAGTATCCATGGTCGTAGGCCTCATGGAGCTTACAAGGAGAGACAGGGGTGTAAACAGCAGCACAAGAGTGTGTTGCCTTAAGTATTTGGTGCATAGTGTTATCCCTCATGTTACAAGGGTGAGGACTAAGGCTCGGAGAGGGTAACTAATTCTCTCAAGGACTCACAGATCATAAGTCACAGGATCAGGATTCAATCCAGATCTGTGTGAGCTGCGAGTCCACGTTAGCCCATGTGGTGTTTCTATGCTAATTAGATAAGGAAGCCTCTTCTTCCAGGTGGATGCACCCATACCCTCACTCTGCCTGAGCCAGAACAGGTCATGCTGCAAACATGTGGCACTGGGGCTGTGTGATGAGGCCATGTAGACTCAAACCCACGGCCTGGTCTTTGGTGGCCCTGCTGGGCTCCAAGTCACGGCTCATCTCCACTGCCCAGCCTATGAATCCCGACTGTCCCCACATGCCCATTTAGCTCAGCTCTGCACCCCGCTTCCTGTGTCCACTCTGAACATCTCTCCTCTAAGCCACAATCTTCCAGTGGTGTGGGCGCAGAGCACTCACCAGGTTGACAAAATCCTGGTAGCAGATCTGTCCATCAGCATGGCTGTCAGCGAGAGCCAGGAGCACCTCCCTTTTGTGTGGGTCCAGCTTGGAGCTGTGGCTCTCCAGCAGGCTCCGGAACTTGCCTGTGCTGATGTAGCCTGTGTTCCCAGGGTCAAACTGAAGGAGAAGCAGACAGCATCGGGGTCAGTAGATCGGCACCCCTCAGCTCTGCCCCATCTCCACCATCATTCACCACCTCTGTCCCCAGCCCTCTGCCGACAGAGGCCTGGGCAGTGCCTGGAATGTTTCCAAGGCTCCCATGGGGCATGGAAAACCACTGAAAACCCTAGAAGGCCCTGGGACCTTTGAGATCACCCAACCTAACCTTCTCATGCATGGTTAAGGACACAGGCTCAGAGAGGTTAACTCCCTCCTCTCTGCTCAAGAGGAAAGCAGGATGGAAAGGCGATGAGAAGAGGAAGATGAGGAACTTCTGCGGCCTGGGCTGGAGGGACTCCAGTGGGGAATGTGTGGGGCCATGGGAGCAGGACGCACAGCCTTGCGAATACCTCAGCATCCACCTCTTCTCATGCCTACACTTATACACGTCCCATTCCATGTACCCAGGGCTGGGCAGGGCTCCCCAAAGATACTGTGCTCGGCTGTGTTTGCCTTTGACCCTGTGCCCTTTTGCCCCCTGCAGCTTTGCACACAGGGGTCCTCCTGCCTAGGATTCCCTTTCCCCCTCATCTCCGTGGGAGGCTCCAACTCACCCTTCCTAGCTTCTTAGATGCCTTGTCTCTGGGAAGGCTCCCTCAGGCACAGTCTGTCCTCACTGCTGCCCCTGCACTTGGGAGAGACCTCCGACCTCCATCCATGCTGGTCTAATTGTCTGCTTCTGCCTCCTCACTGGACTGCTTGCTTCCCGATAGTTGGCATCTCAACTTATCCCCCATGCTTAGCGCAAAGCCCAGCATAATCAGCAATCGATAAAGATTTGTTGGGTGAACAAACAGTGGATGTTTGGATGAAGAGATGGGTTCCGACTTTCCAGGGACAGTCTATCAGTTCAGTTAGAATGGGATCTTACTCATCTCTCTCAGAGAAGCCGTTTCTTCCTGTCCCTCCACCAAAGCCCATCTCTCCTCACAGAGCCACCAGAGCACACATCCTGCTAGAAAATGACACTGTCTCTCATGGATGCCGAGAACTTTCTTGTCCACAGAGTGCATCTCCACGTGAATCCACTGCACCTAGAGATACTGCGGAGGGTTGCTGCAATTTTAAGACCCAGACATTGCAGATGTCCGCATGTGCAAACCACGTTTTCCCCTTTTCTAGAACAGGTCAGCGAAGACTATTTTAGGAAGGCTGATTCTGTGTGCAGTGCCTCTAAGACAGTCCAAGAGAAACAACCAAGAGCCCCAAGTCATAGGTCACTACTCACCATTCACCTGCACCTTTGCTGTGCCTAGAACTGTGCTGGGCACAGTAGTATCCATGGTCGTAGGCCTCATGGAGCTTACAAGGAGAGACAGGGGTGTAAACAGCAGCACAAGAGTGTGTTGCCTTAAGTATTTGGTGCATAGTGTTATCCCTCATGTTACAAGGGTGAGGACTAAGGCTCGGAGAGGGTAACTAATTCTCTCAAGGACTCACAGATCATAAGTCACAGGATCAGGATTCAATCCAGATCTGTGTGAGCTGCGAGTCCACGTTAGCCCATGTGGTGTTTCTATGCTAATTAGATAAGGAAGCCTCTTCTTCCAGGTGGATGCACCCATACCCTCACTCTGCCTGAGCCAGAACAGGTCATGCTGCAAACATGTGGCACTGGGGCTGTGTGATGAGGCCATGTAGACTCAAACCCACGGCCTGGTCTTTGGTGGCCCTGCTGGGCTCCAAGTCACGGCTCATCTCCACTGCCCAGCCTATGAATCCCGACTGTCCCCACATGCCCATTTAGCTCAGCTCTGCACCCCGCTTCCTGTGTCCACTCTGAACATCTCTCCTCTAAGCCACAATCTTCCAGTGGTGTGGGCGCAGAGCACTCACCAGGTTGACAAAATCCTGGTAGCAGATCTGTCCATCAGCATGGCTGTCAGCGAGAGCCAGGAGCACCTCCCTTTTGTGTGGGTCCAGCTTGGAGCTGTGGCTCTCCAGCAGGCTCCGGAACTTGCCTGTGCTGATGTAGCCTGTGTTCCCAGGGTCAAACTGAAGGAGAAGCAGACAGCATCGGGGTCAGTAGATCGGCACCCCTCAGCTCTGCCCCATCTCCACCATCATTCACCACCTCTGTCCCCAGCCCTCTGCCGACAGAGGCCTGGGCAGTGCCTGGAATGTTTCCAAGGCTCCCATGGGGCATGGAAAACCACTGAAAACCCTAGAAGGCCCTGGGACCTTTGAGATCACCCAACCTAACCTTCTCATGCATGGTTAAGGACACAGGCTCAGAGAGGTTAACTCCCTCCTCTCTGCTCAAGAGGAAAGCAGGATGGAAAGGCGATGAGAAGAGGAAGATGAGGAACTTCTGCGGCCTGGGCTGGAGGGACTCCAGTGGGGAATGTGTGGGGCCATGGGAGCAGGACGCACAGCCTTGCGAATACCTCAGCATCCACCTCTTCTCATGCCTACACTTATACACGTCCCATTCCATGTACCCAGGGCTGGGCAGGGCTCCCCAAAGATACTGTGCTCGGCTGTGTTTGCCTTTGACCCTGTGCCCTTTTGCCCCCTGCAGCTTTGCACACAGGGGTCCTCCTGCCTAGGATTCCCTTTCCCCCTCATCTCCGTGGGAGGCTCCAACTCACCCTTCCTAGCTTCTTAGATGCCTTGTCTCTGGGAAGGCTCCCTCAGGCACAGTCTGTCCTCACTGCTGCCCCTGCACTTGGGAGAGACCTCCGACCTCCATCCATGCTGGTCTAATTGTCTGCTTCTGCCTCCTCACTGGACTGCTTGCTTCCCGATAGTTGGCATCTCAACTTATCCCCCATGCTTAGCGCAAAGCCCAGCATAATCAGCAATCGATAAAGATTTGTTGGGTGAACAAACAGTGGATGTTTGGATGAAGAGATGGGTTCCGACTTTCCAGGGACAGTCTATCAGTTCAGTTAGAATGGGATCTTACTCATCTCTCTCAGAGAAGCCGTTTCTTCCTGTCCCTCCACCAAAGCCCATCTCTCCTCACAGAGCCACCAGAGCACACATCCTGCTAGAAAATGACACTGTCTCTCATGGATGCCGAGAACTTTCTTGTCCACAGAGTGCATCTCCACGTGAATCCACTGCACCTAGAGATACTGCGGAGGGTTGCTGCAATTTTAAGACCCAGACATTGCAGATGTCCGCATGTGCAAACCACGTTTTCCCCTTTTCTAGAACAGGTCAGCGAAGACTATTTTAGGAAGGCTGATTCTGTGTGCAGTGCCTCTAAGACAGTCCAAGAGAAACAACCAAGAGCCCCAAGTCATAGGTCACTACAGTTCTCAGAACTCAATGAGAGGACATCTCTGGTGAGACCTATTTAAAAATCTGTATGTGGCCCCACCCTCAACCCTACATATCAGGTTTCAGGGTATTTGGTTTACATCCTTGAGTATTTCAGGAAACTCACCTACTCCTTACTCCTATAAAGATCTTTAAGGATAAAAACACCTAATACTTGCTAAGTATTTTCATGGGGCCAAATACAGTTCTAAGCACTTTATGCATATGATTTCTTTGAACTTCTACAACAATCTTATGAAGCAAGTCCTATTATTATCTCTGTTTTATAGATGAGCAAATAGAGGCACAGGAAAATGGGCACAGAGAAGTTACATGATTGCCTGGCAGGCGTGGTCCACGATTCCACACTAAGGCAGCCTGGTGCTGCCTCTACACCACTGCTGGTTGCCACCTATCTTCAGCTTCCAGGGGTTGCTCTGCTGCTCAGAAACAAAATCTAAGGATCAAAGAGGTGAGTGTGGGCCTGAGAAAGGAGAGGGCTCTAGAAGTCTCAGGAGCCCACTCTAAACAGATGTTTAAAGCAGGAAAGAGCCTCAAACAGCAACAGTTCTGACCTCCTTATTGCTTAGATAGGAAAGTAAAGGCTGGAGAAGCAAAGGGGCAGGGCAGCCAGGGAGGGTCTCCTTTTCTGGTGCCTGGGACCCTTTGCATGCCCGGAGGTTGGCACAGGCCATGGGGACTCACCAGCCTGGCCCCACCGGTGCTGAGTGGGCTGATGGGGAGTAGGGGAGGGGAAGGGGTTGAAGCAGCAGCCTTGAGTCCTCAGAAAGGCCATATTCCAACCCCCATCTCCCTACCCTGTGAGCACTGCAGGGGGCTGTGGTCTGCTGCACAGCCTGGAGTTTGTCCTGCTTGCTGGGGGAGGAAGGAAGCCCAATGACCTTGTATTCACTTGGAGCAGGAATGCCAATCCCTCCCAGGGGCTGCCTCGGAGGCTTGGGAGGGCAGCGGGGTGAGGGGCTGGGATCAAGCAAGGCCCCTCTCCCTTATTCCTGCTCCAGACAAAGAACCACCTGCTCCCCGGCTCTCCCTCCCACTCCAGGGCTCCCTGCTGTTGCCCTAGTGACAGGGGCTGCCCTGTGGCTCTTTGAGCTCCCACCCCCCACCATGGCCCGCCAGTCCTGCCCCAAGCATATTATAGGCTCCAGACTGCAGAGAAAGAGCTGGAATCAGGCCGAGCCTCTCTTCTCTGCCAAAACTCTACCTTTCGTGCCAGGGCCAGACAAGCCAGACAGGCCAGACAATGGGGGGTCATCTCTACCCTAGTAATGAGGCCTCAGGGAGGAAGGAAGGTGACTGGAGAAGGGAGAGGAGGGGAAGGGCAGCTGCCTGGGCTCCACAAATGTGCACAGGACACCTTCTAGCCCCTACCCCCAACAACCGGGAAGAGGAGGACAAGAGCAGAGGCTGACAGTGGGCAGGGGCCATGGGGGCAGGTGGAGGCAGAGAGAGGGAGACAAAGGGAGCAAAAAGCACACAGCGAGCCAGGGAGAGGAGGCACCAGACGGCACAGAGAAGTAGGTTCCACTGCCCCAGCAGAAAGCCAAGAGTTTCTAAGGAAGACTGAAAGGAGCAGGGCAAAATCCCATTCTTGTTTGGGCCACTAACCAGTTTGTATACTTTAGGGTAAACATCTGGAGCCATAATTGCCTCATCTATGAGCAGGGCTGGCATCCCCTCAGGCTGTGGTGGGTTGAAGCCAATGCAGGGCACTCACTCTTCAGGGTTGCATGGGCTCAGTGTCTGGTTAAACAGGCATTACCCCATTGTGGGGGGGTTGGCTGACCCCCCACCCGGGGCACGCTTCCTGCCTTTGGGCCTCCTTTAAGGCCACCTGTGGGGGATGAGGTCAGACTAGTACTGTGGTTTGGAGTTTTGGGGGAAACAAACTCTACCAGGGCAATTCCCTTGTTAATAATGTGCTGAAGCCCCCAAACTCCCCATCCCAGGTGCCCCATGCCCTGGATTCACTCACTTTGGGCAGAGGGGCACTCTCGGGTTGAGATCGGGTTGGGTGGGTTCAGGCAGGCTGACTGGGGCTGATCTGGGGGCAATGGGAGGAATGCACTGTGAACAGGCAGGGGCCCTGGGGGAGCCAGCAGTTGGGGAGCAACCCTGCATCTGCCTTCTGAATAGGCCCAGCACGGTGGAGGGAGGAGCAGGCCAAGTCCGAGTGGAGGCTGGCGGCACACGGAGGAGAAAGGCACAAAGTGAGGAGTGACTCCAACAGCACCCGCCCACCTGCCTCAGCCTTGAAAAGAGCTGCCAGGGGCTCCAAGGACGGCTACTCCTGGCAGCACCCAGGGCACGGGCCCCTTAATTCTCGAGGTCGTTTTTCCCAGCCCCACGCACTCTGATATGTATCACATCTGTCACCCTGGGTGCTTTCCTGGCACACTTATGACCTAGGCTGGGAAAAGCACCCCTCAAATTCTCTCTGTGTTGTTGCCACCCAGAGCTCCGTACCCTCTCTGGGGCAAGAAGAGGGGGAGAGTTCCAGAAGGAACCCTGCTCTCAGCAGCTGTGCCATCTTGGGCAAATCATTAACCATACTGCCTCAGTTTCTCTGGCAATCATGTGGTAGGAACTCTCCCTTTTCAGGGAAATGTCAGGGGGTTCATCCCCACCCCTGCACTTATAAGCGCACCATATATAAATGGGGATCAGGGAAGAGAAATCCGCAACCCATGAAGGCAGCTGATCTGCTCTTTTACATCCTCTCTCTGTCAAAGGGCTGATGGGAAATTCAGGGTCAGAATGAGGCAGCTCACATGGGACGTGAGGTCTGTGCTGTCAGAGAGACCTGGGGACAATGGGGGCGGGGCAGCAGGTTAGAGAATCATAATGCATGGTACAGGAGAGCTGAAAGACATCTCCATGGTTTTCAAACTGCTCTGCAGAGTTCTCGGGGCAGTGAGACCTCTAAGGCCAGAGGGGGTGGGGAGGTCTATGTATTGGCCCTCTGCATACTACCCAGCTGGACACCACCACAATATGGGCTGCATATGGAGAATGCCTGCTAGGCATCAGGCACCACCTCACTGAAACCACTGTTCATGCTGTGTGCTGGTTTGCCTGGGACGGTCCTGGTTGATCCCAGATGTCTGAATGTGATTATCTACAGTAGCCTTTTCACCCTCCAAATGGCCCTGATTTGGATGATAAGAAATAGAGTCCCCCCACTTAAACCTCACAACAACCGTATGAGGAAGACACTCTCATGAGGTCTGATTTGTGAGGGAGAAACACTAGGTGCGGAGAGCCCTGCTGACCCACTGGAGCGGCCAGTGTTGGGGCAGTGGATTCCCATCCAGGGTGGGGGCCCAGAGCCTGTACTCGCCCAGCACTAAGATGTTGCTGCTAAAGAGAGTTTGAGAGACCCCGGTCCAATCCTCTCATTCAGTCCTTTAACAAATATTTACTAAGGATCAACTATGTGTCAGACCTCACACTCATTTTACGGATGGGGAACCAGTGCAAAAAGATGGGACTGGTTCAGAGTTCCCATGGGAGTTGGCTGCCCCAGCTTTGCTCTTGTTTTTCTCTGTCCTGCCCTGTGTATGCAATATATAGCCCCAGGCTCAGGGCTTCCCAATGTGTGTTTTGTGAAACACCAGGCCCAAGACAGAGCATGACATAAGGGTTCTGTGGTCCCATAAATTTGGGAAACCCACTTGGAAGGGCATGATGCATAAAAACCATATTAA